ACGTACCCGATCTGGTGGAGGCTGAGATTGGGAAAGTACCAGTAACAGTTATCACTGGCTTTTTAGGTAATCATTATCATCATGAATTGCTGTTTCCATTTTTGTTGTTAATTCTCAATGAATATTATAAAATATAGATCTAGATTAGTTCTAGATTCTAGATCTAGACTTCTAGATCTAGGTCTAGATCTATAATTATAATATGTCGTAGAGAGCTTCATTTAGATCTAGATCTAGATCTACTACTGACCTACAGTTACTTAAGACTGGGGGCTTTGATAGGCCTACAACTAAATACTTCAATTGTAGACAATTTTATAACGAAGTGTATTCCCACCGTCTTCAGACCCGGTAACCGGGAACAAAGTTATGAAGTATACAGATCCGGTAGGGGAGATATTTTGTGATTTCGGAAAGTTTCAGCGCCCAGACCCGGTAGATGTGTGTGGGGACAGTGGGGAGGACTTCCGTAACGAGCGACCACTATGAGACAGAGCAGAATTTAGGGATTGGGGTAGGGGTAGGGTTAGGTCTAGGCCTCTTCTTTATTGTGTTTGATGGGGTGGTCGCTCGTTACGGAAGTCCTTCCTGTGTGTGTGTATGAGAAAAAGAGAGAGAGAGAGGAGGGGGTAGAGAACAGGGTGAAGTGCTAGCAAATGTAATATCACATGCCCCAGTTGACAGAGGGAACGAGAGAAAGATAGAGTGGGCCCTGAAATTTTCCGAAATCATAAAAAAGATTTTTCCTACCGGGTCTGTATACTTCGTGACTTTGTTGTTCCCGGTTACCGGGTCTGTATACACACGCTCCCATATTATAATTATTCGTGGACTTTTAAACTAGCCACATATACATATAGATCTAGATCTATATTATAACGCAATGGCAGTAACTATGTTCATGGTAGATCTAGATCTAGTTTGCAGGCTGTGTTCACAACGCCATGAATGTGTTTTACAATTTAAAAATGATCTTGCTCACTTTACCCCCTACCCTTTTCCTGTTTGCCCTCTTTTTTTCACTCCCTCCCTCCCCTCTTCCTGCCTTGGCCTTCTTCCATTCATGATTCTCCCTTGTTTCTTTGAATGCCTTTTATTTTCAAAATGTCAAGCGTTGCCGGTCCTCACAAGGGAAAAGGATCGAAGTCATGTTTCGTGCGCTGACCGAGTGAGGCCTTGTCGACCACGGCTGTTTTGCTGTGCCCATCCTTTTCCCTCCGTAAACCCAATTGCATTCGGACCACAGCTGCATATTTTTCTTTCGGGTATTCCTGTGCTGTTTCCTTGAGGACTCAATTTACTTTGAGCAACCATAGCATGTCAGTCGTGCCTCTGTGCCAATGGTGGATGATTCAGGGTGCTGTGAACAGTCTGCAAATTACATTCATGGCACCGTGGACGTAGTCACTGCTTATAATATAAAGAGTTAGAAGGTCCAGAATATCGAGAAATATTGCAAATTAAATTGTGTTGTAAAGGGGCCAAGCAAGGTATTCACATTTTATGTTGTTTGTATTTCTTAAAATTTAGGAGCTGGAAAAACTACGTTGCTGAATTACATCCTAACAGAGCAGCATGGTAAAAGAGTAGCTGTTATCCTCAATGAGTTTGGAGAAGGTAAGTTTTTGTGTAAGTAATCTAATTCATAATTCATGGGATATTATTTAATCCTACAAATCTTTAGAGAGAGTCTGTATGGGGGCTTTCGTGGTCAAGAGGTTAAGGTGTTGGCCTCTCATTCAAAGGTCCCGGGTTTGAATCCAGGAAGCTACCGAAATATTTTCTATTCTTAAATTGTCTCCTTTCACCTCCTTTCCTGCTCTCTAGCAATGTTCTGTCATCTGCTTTCGTCTCCTCTTTCTGCCCCCACCCCCTCACCTCCTTTGCCCCCTCCTCTGGGCTCCTGACTCTTTCTGCAGCCTTTCAACTGCTACTCCTTGGCTCCTTCTTACTGCTGTCTTTCAGCAGCACCCTTGATCTTCTGGTAGGAAAGATCTACACCTTGTCTTCTCGGAAAAGGGCGTAAAATCTCGAAGGTCCCGCGTGCAAGTTGCGCACATTAAAGATCCCTTGGTGGTCTAAAATCAATAAGAGTAGGCTTCGGCCGCCACCCAGGCAAAATTCAAAATTTCCTACCCACTGAAAAAGTTTAATGTGTCCCGCCCGCTCATGTGACCTTATGCAGTTGTGAGCGCCGTAAGACACTTATCAAAAAAAAAAAAAGTTTGTATACCACTTCTTAAGTTCCCCAGCAAAAATTTTTTTAAATGTTACTCACTCAGAAGGCAGAGAAGAATAATTTTGATTTCACTCCCATGGACAGAAATATGAGGCTGTGATAACTGTGACTTGGTATCATCTTCTGCCAGCTAAATGTGAAAACTGAAATGTTGACAACTTGGGCTGTGCTATTTTTTATCATTGCCAGCCCTCTTCATACCCAGGTATTCGCTAATTTTTAGAACGAAATGACAAACTGCATGCTCTGACATGACAACAAAACAAAAACAAAGAATATTTTAAAGGACCTGAGTATTCATTGAAAGTATAAATCTAACTAAATCGGACTTTAGTGACACAAAATAGATAATTTGGCTAATTTTCCTACTGGGAAGATATGAAACGATAAAACAGAAAGGAAGAAAAAAAATTCCCCCCTCCCCCATTTCTTTTTCCATTTTTCTTGCTTTTCTCCTTTCTTCTCTCTTTGCTGCCTTTTTATTTGGTCCTTGAAGCTTTGATCACTACCTAGAGTAGATGGCATAGGTTCTGACTGCTAGGCTTTTTACAAAACATGCTTTGTCTTAAAGCTTATGACATGCTATTCTTTATAAATGTCTGTATGTTCTTTTTGGTCAAACCAAGTCCTTTTCTTACTACCCTGAGAATATATATTCAAAGAGTGTAGGATCCAATCTGTCCTTTCTTTGCTCATTTTAAAAATCAAAATTGAAACCATGCACAAAGACAAACACATGAGATTGAACACACTCACACTTGAATAATTGCACCAAGTATATCGTGTATTTATTAAACAATTTTTTTTTCCCTTTATCAGGAGATTCAATAGAGAAGTCTATGTCTGTTGGCCAAGAAGGTGAACTGTTTGAAGAGTGGCTGGAACTGAGAAACGGCTGTCTGTGTTGTTCTGTTAAGTAAGTCTGGAATTGTGTTGATAGTTGATGGTTACATCAGATAGAACATTTGTTGCCAGGTTGTTTGTTTGTTCCACATGCATTAGGGGACGCTGCCAGTACGTCCTTTTTTTCCCCTTTGTTGTCTGCCTGTATATCTAACTTTTTCCAGTGGGTGGGTGGTGGGTGCTCTGGTGTGGTTTGCTTCTTCTTTCCTATCAAAAGTCTATCGTCCTTATAGATCACCTTCTTCTTTTATATGTTTGTTACTCTCTTGTAACTCCTCTAATTTTCTGGCGCTCATATGACCCTATGCAGTTGCGAGCGCCGTAAAACCTCTACTAAAACTAGAAGTAACCTTTTCCCTACCCTAAGTGACTGTTATTGTGTAAATGTACTTCTCTTTACTCAAGCAACCAACCAATCAAACATGTTACATGACATGTTTTGTCCCTCCAGAGACAATGGGGTCAAGGCCATAGAGAATCTGATGCAGAAAAAAGGCAAGTTTGACTACATCCTGCTGGAGACGACTGGACTGGCAGACCCAGGACCCATTGCTTCCATCTTCTGGCTAGATGAGGAGTTGTGTAGTGATGTGTATCTGGATGGTGAGTACAATTTGGGGAGGAGAAGTTGTGTGTAGATGTGTGGAAGATGAGAAATTTGAAAGGTGGGGTGGAGTGTGTTGCTATGTATAGCTGGATGGAGGGGGGGGGGGAGAAGTTGTGTTGTGATTTATGTCTTGATGGTTGTTAGGGAGGTGGGGGGGGAAGGAGTTTTATAATGATGTAATAGTGAGTATGGGGGAGGGGGAAGGGGAGAAGAAAAGGAGTGATATATGTATCTGGTTGGTGAATACAATAAGGCTCAAGTGGAGCTGTGCCGTTACCTCTGTTGGTGTCATGATGGATGATGAATAGGGAACAGGCCCATGTTAAACTGTGGTTGTTGGAAGACTTCAACTCTTCCCCCTCTTGGCTTGGCCCCATCGTGCTTGTACACTGTGGAGGGGTTTTCCTCTTGTATTTTCGTCCTATGGTCAGAAAGGTGTAAATTCCTCAAGTGTATGGAGATTGAATCCCTCAAGAAATGAGTTGTTGAGACTCTACAGAATGCAAACTGGCCAACTTCAGGAAATCTTATTTTTATAGGAGGAAAAACTCTGCCTGAATCATTCTGTTTTATTCAGTTATAAAGTAGAATCTAGAAGCACTTTCTGTTCGCATTTGTAAAAAAATTCTAGGACAATCTTGCATTGTACAGTCCATGCCGGCTTTAAGCACGGTCATCAGGAGAAAGATTAAGCGTGCTTAACGCCGAAGTGTGCTTGAGTGCGAAGTAGACATAATTCAGAGATTTTCATGTTGAAAATTTCCCGTGCTATTTCCCTTTATTTGTAAGTAGGTATATAGCTGTCCCGCAAAAGTGTGCTCTGTTTTTACACCCGCCATGGTAGTTTTTGTTTGCTTGTTTGTTTGTTTTTTGTGGTCGAATGGGAAATGAAAGCTTGATTTAGACGGCCAGTCACGATACAGCACACTAGGCCTACACACTACACACTGCCTGTGCGTACCACTGCCCGCCGTGCCACATTCAAACCACCGCCTTCATCCTACCTCGCGCGTGATACACAATCAGGATTAATGGGTAGCGAGGGTCAAAGGTGAAATCGCAGCCAGCCTCCCTTTCTCTTCTCCCCGACTCTCTTTGTATTTTTTTTTGGTCGTGTGTAGCTTTGCCCTAGGCTAGATCCTATGTCCACGCACGCGGCTGTGTGCATCTCTTTGCCTTCCTCTCCCCGCGTGTGAGTGTGTGTCTCTATCACTTGCGTTCTTTGTGTTTGCCTTAACACACTCCACTGCTGCGGTGTAGACTGTGTTCGAATTTCGATGGGTCGTCATAAAAATATTGACTGTCTTGTAAATGAAGCGTGCCTGAAGCTGAAGTTACCATGCTTAAAGGCGTGTAATTTATATAGCAAAAATTCGGTAAGAGCCGTTTAGCGTGCTTGAGTCTGAAACGTGCTTAAAGCCGGCGTGCTTAAAGCCGGCACGGACTGTAATATGATGTGCAGTCTTATGATGCTACTTAAAATTTGCTGTTCCTCTTTTTGGCCTACTGTACATGATAAACCTTGTGAGACTTTATTCTTTGAAATGTTGTAAGTGATTACACAGATGATGAAAATGGAATAGTTATTTTGCTGTTAATCTGTGTAATCAAAGGAGAATGCTATTTATTATTTTGTTTTAATGTTCTATTATTTCATTTGTTCTTACTTGACAATAAGGCTGTAATTATTTTGTTTCAATGTTTGCATCTCGTTTGGTGTTAAAGAAAATCTTTTGATATTGAGTCATTTTGATAACCATTGTGAATAAATTTACCCTTTTCAGGCATTGTTGTGGTAGTGGATTCCAAGTTTTGCAAACAGGTAATGAACTCCGGTGGTTGAGGTAATGTCACTAATGTCAAGGATTTTTTTTTAATCTGAAAAAAAATCATTTTCTGTAGTTAGTTATTATCTGCTTGGAGGTATCGTCTATAATCTAATGGGTTAGAGAACTCAGGCTGTAGTTGCGAGCGCCGTAAAACTACTCCACTAAAACTAAACTAAAGTTGTTTTGCTGGATGTTATAGACTTTTGCTTTTATGTTATTGCTCACAACTGTATCATCATGGCACAAGTATGAAAAAGAAGGTTTTTCCAAGTGTGCTTTTGGTACGTAGCCAGTTTGTTACTAGTGATTTTTATGATAGGATAGTAAATAAACTTGAGTTGGTAAATAAACTTGATATATATATATAGTTCTTTAAATATCACTTAATTAAATTCTGGATGAAGAAAACTTGTTTTTTAATTTAACTACGAACAATTGCTGAAAATCTGAATTTTTTCTAGGTGCTGTTATTCTTCATGTAATTGTATAAAATTTGTGTTGAAAGTTTAATTGCAAATGATATTGAAATATTCATTACCGGTATTCCATTCCAAAAGTGTGAGAGTTGAACATGTCTTGCAGATTTATTTATCTCTTTCCATTCCCAGCATTTACAAGAGGTGAAGGAGGATGGTTCTATCAATGAGTCACAAAGGTTTGGACAACAAAGACTTTTTCATTCCTTGATCAGCCTCGCCATATCGTCACCTCAGAACTATTTTGTCCAAAGTGTACTTAAGTAAAGAGGCACTTTGGGCAAAATAGTTATTAGGCGACGATATGGCTAATGTCCCTGACATTATTTGTGAGGCAGCGTGGTGGAATCAGGCTCTCGTCAATTTTTGGGCATATTGAGTTAATGGTATCATCTTAAAGCTTGTTCATTTGTCTTACTTTCAATGTAAAAATGACAAATCCATCTTCAATAGAAATGGAGATATTTTGGATTGAAGGAGGTGGGGGTCACCTAATTTAAGAGGTAAAATTAGCGAGAAAATGGCCGCCAAAGGTTGGTAAATTCCAAAGCTGGAGAGTCCATGGAAACTAAATTTATATTTTTGTGCCTTTAATCAATGTTTTTGGTGAAATCCTTAAAGGAATGTGTTTGTAAATGGACATAAAAGGTGTTGAGCCAAAAAACACAAATTTGACAAAAATTGTAAGCAAGGAGAGAACTGCTGTTTTCTTCGATTTTGTTATTTTGACGAGAGTGATTCCACCACGCTGCCTCACATTTGTAAATGAGTAACATAGGTCATGGTATGGTGAGTTCACATTACATGATCCTTCTGCTGTCAGGGTTTACAGTATCATGAACTGGGGAAGCTTTTCTTTTTATGCCCTCTTGAGTGTGTCAAAATACATGTTTTTTTTACTAGAAAGTTGTCAATACTTATTGTCAGTTTTTGAAAAGACTGCTTGCCTGACTTTACTCGCCCACAATGCTTGTGATGGGCATGAAATGAAACAGTTGTTGCACATCAGCTGAATAGTTTCTGTTCTTTGTTACTAGGCCAGGAATACACTGGGAACACAATTTACCTTATTTCTCATCCATAGCATTCAGACATTTTGGGGGGAAAAGAAACATGGTTAGTACATGATATGGTTGCTATATTGTTATTGGGTCCCCAATAATTCTGTACCACTTGACAGAGCAGCTGCTACAACTCAACTTTTCGTTGGCAGAGAACCGTAGAGCTTTAAAAGGGCTTTCCCGGGATATATTTTTAACCTTTGGCGTTTAGATAGAAAGCCTTTAAAAATACCGTCTAAGTTTTCAAAGATCATTTTTTACACGAAATATGTAAAATACCGGCTCAAAAAAAGTAGGCCCTACCATTAGAAAGATCTGTTCATTTTCTATTAGAATGAAGTAATCGGCTTGAAATTATTTTGCATCAATCCTTCCGCGAAGCTTGGAAAGCATGTGACCCCCCCCACGCGGGGAGCACTCGGTACACTACAGTATAGAGCCGATTCAATCGCCGCAGGGACCGTTGGGGCGCCGATCAGGACAGCGCTCGCGTTTTTGTCGAAATAACGATGGATCATTGTGTTTGAGGCAATAAAATACTGATTTGCAATGATCTCACAGTCTTGAAAAAAGTTAGGCTCCATATCTATATTAAAGTGATTGTACTCTGTTAATGTGGAAATGTTTTTGGTGCTCTTGGTACTCTTTTATTGTCTGTCAAACATGGGATAGCAGCCAGTTAGCGACTAAAGCAAATTTGATCTTATTTAAAACAGCTACCATTTTCTTTAAAATTGACTGAGAGGTTAAAGAATGGTATCAACATTCTCAGGAGATGTAGGCCTTTCATATATGGAACAGATAAATTTGGCATACAGCTACTTTGAAAATTTAGTTTCTGGTTCCTAAGTTAAGTGCACACTGGTTTTGTATTTTGAGAGTTACTTCTTTACGAGTGAAAAAAGTTAACATGTATATATCTGTTTGGGCAAGACTGTTGGTAATCTTTGTAGCTGGTAGCCTTTGTGTTTAGTTTTGTTACTCTTTTCCTAGCCATTTACCCAGGGTAATGTGCTAGTGGTCTATGTATTTATTTTGTGGCAATAGTCCATATATGGTCGCTTTTAAGGACAAGCGGGTTAACCCAGATTTTGGGGGGTTTCCAGAAATCTTAACCTACACGAAAAGTGGGCATTGCCCTACCTATAGGAGAAGTTTGGTTTCATTGGTGTGAATGTTTGTTTAGTTATAGAGAGAACTCTCCTTGTTTTTAAATGAAACTGAACAAGGGGCAAAACTTTACCTTCGATTTTCTCAAAACAGCATTTTTCGGGATAGCCCACTTGTTCAAGTTTAAAAGCAACTATATTTACTGTGGGAGTTTTTTTCTGTTGTTCCAGACAGATAGCCCTTGGCGATGTTGTTGTGGTCAACAAAACAGACCTGGTCTCATCAGAGGAACTAAAGGACTTGAAGGACAGGATCAGGTAACAGCGACTTTGGGATTTGGTGAAGAAAAACACAATTTATAGACTTGCGGTCCTGTTGTTTTTTTTATTTTAATTTTTTTTAAAATTAAATGTGAGGCAGCGTGGTGGAATCAGGCTCTCGTCAAAATAATGAAATTGAAGAAAACAGCAGTTTTCTCCTTGCTTACAATTTTTGTCAAATTTGTGTTTTTTGGCTCAACAACTTTTATGTCCATTTACAAACACATTCCTTTAAGGATTTCACCAAAAACATTGATTAAAGGCACAAAAATATTAATTTACAGTTTCCATGGTCTCTACAGCTTTGGAATTTACCAACCTTTGGCGGCCATTTTCTCGCTAATTTTATCTCTTAAATCAGGTGACCCCCACCTCCTTCAATCCAAAATATCTCCATTTCTATTGAAGATGGATTTGTCATTTTTACATTGAAAGTAAGACAAATGAACAAGCTTTAAGATGATACCAATAACTCAATATGCCCAAAAATTGACGAGAGCCTGATTCCACCACACTGCCTCACAAATTGTAAATGAACTGAATGCACCATGAGACAAGGAAAGGTAATTTAGAACTCAGAGTATTTTGTCCCAAAAATCTGAAAAAGAAGAAAGAAAGAGTTGTTCAATATACACCCTTCACATTTCAGTGCTTATGTTTGTTCATATAGTGTGTTATTGTGGAGGGATGCTCCTTATGCTGGTGTGCACTGAGCCTATTTATGTCCACCCTACAGTATTGTGGGCATCTAATGTGTATAGGCCTACTTGTGGTGTACACACACCCCCGGGCGGTGCCACTGACTGAAGTGTCTTTAGGCCATTCCCAAAGGGGGACATTAACTTGTTCTTTTGCACTGTAGAATTGTAAATGGGCTGATTCATGTGTTGAAGACTGAAACGGAAAGAACAAAAATGTGCACCTTTTCTGTTCTCAGGTCTGTCAACGGTTTTGCCAAACTTGTGGAAACGTCGCATGCAAAGTGAGTGAAATTGTTTTCCTTTCGCATTGAACCAACTGAAATTACAGGATTTTTTTTTTTGAGAGGGAGAGAGAGAAAGGGAGAGGGATGAGGGAGTGCATGGAGAGAGTAAGAGAGACAAAGCAGGAGGGGGTTTGGTGATTGAGAGTCAGCAGGGGAGGGAAAAAGAGGGGATTTTTTGTTTTGAAAGTGGGAAGTGGGGAAGGGAGTAAAAAAGTGAAGTACGAAAGAAAGAAGTATGCGAACTTTTTTAGACAAGAAATTGACACAAAAGAAGAAAGGCAAAAGGGAAAGCAACACAATCCAGGAGAAGAAGAGAAATGTGTGGTCCATGAGAACAGGACTCAACAGCCGAAAAATGTTACATTTTATTGTGTTACTTTGTCTTTTCCATTTGGAAGCGTATGTTGCATTACTTCTACACTGTGTTACTTTGTCATGTTCTGTCAGATGTAACATTTTGTAACTTTTGCATTGTTTTACTTTGCTTTGTCCAGGTGGAAGCTGTTACATTGCGCTATGTTGTCTTGCCCTATCTCTGCTTTACGCCAAAATGGAGGGGTTAGTTAAAGTATATCTTATCTCTCATGAGCACTGACAAGAACACGATATATACTGCCATTCAAATTGAAAAACCTAGTATCTAACAAAATCAAGTATTGTCGTAAACTCAAAAAATACACAACTACTGTTAATATTGCTACTCTCAGTAATTTTTATATTTGAATACTGAGATATCGGTTCCAAATTAAGATAGACGCATGTCTACATTTTTCACTAAAGTCACAGCTCATGTTTTGAAAGTTGATTTTTACTTAGTTTTCTGTTCAAAAGACAGTGTAGGCCCTACTGGTGCTGCTTTCTGTAGTGTCATTGTGCTAAACATAAAAGCAGCGAATTAGTAGATTCCCCACATAGGAGAAAGACAACGTTTCAAGTATCTCCTTTTTTCTGGTGAGATGGAATATCCCCATCATGGGTTGACCCTGACCTGACCTGACCATCAATGATTTATTTATAGAGGCACCAGCCATCCATGTCCAGGTGCTGTTTTAGATGGGTTGACCCTAACAGCCTAGAGAAAGCAGCTCACGTTGTATTTTATGTCTGTTTTGTCAATGGACTTTAATCACTTACAGTATGTGTTTCACACGAATATAATGATGCTGTATCACAGTGTTTGTTTATGTTTGTGTTCTGGAGAAAGAACTGTCTCACTTTATAATAATAATAATAATGAAGATCATTTCTATAGCGCCCACTCTCGTGTAAACACAGCTCTAGGCGCTTTATATAAATGCATGTACGAACAATATTCACGCACGCGACACATACACGCACACACACTCATACACACACACACACACACTAACACACACACATACACACTCTCACGCACTCATTACATGCATACATATGTGTGCACACACACATGCGCGCAAACAAACACACACACACACACACCCACAAACACACACACACACACATGCTTTATCCTTGCTGTCTCTAAAAAGATGGTGGGAGGTTGGCGGGAGCACTGGTTTGGTTTGCTCCTTCTTTCCTGTCAAACAATACATCTATTTTTTTTATCTCTCCTGCTTCTTTTTCATTAAAAGAAAATTACTTGTAACTCCTCCGATCTTCAGCACTTACATGTCTTTATTGTGTGGCAAGTGCTGTAAAACTCTTCCTAAAACAAAACTAAAACAAGAAAACTGCACAACTCACTTTACCTGCTTCACAGGGTGAGTAAGAAACATTACAAGTTACTCGCCTTTCTTGCTGCGTGGTGTTATTCTTCTGATATTGATATCAACATTACTTTTATTATTTATTTTTTTACAATGTTCTCTTTCTTTACACCAGAATTGATATCTTTTCATTATCCTTTTAACAGAATACAGTTTTTTTTATTTCCACACTTTCTCACAGAATTGAACTTAACGACATTTTAGACATCAATGCCTACGGACTGTCTGGAGATGTAAAGTGAGTTATTTGGTTATGCTGTATGGGTGTTGGTATAAAGTGAGTGCAGAGTTGTGCTTTTATGTTTATAGGTTTTGGGAAAATGAGTGGCAGAGTGATGTTATAATGTGTATAATGTTGTAAATGCTATGTGCAGAGGTTTTAGTTTTAATATACTTTACTTTTACTTTACTTTTCCGATCCAGCGGCCATTTGGGTTCTAGCCCTTCGGTCTGTCGATATGGCAAAGAATTGACAGGTTTTAATCAGCTGTGCTTTGTCGCTGTATAGAGTGTTTCCAATGTCTGGGGAGGCAGGTAGGTAGGTGCTACGCAGGTCACAAAGTGCTGGGCAGTTAAAGAGGTGGTGTGGTACTGTTTCATCCTGGCAGTCGCACAACGGGCAGTCGGGTGGGGTATCCTTGCGGGTCCTATTAAGGTAGGAATTTAGTGGTATGTGTTGTGTTCGTAGGCGAAATATTGTGACTTGTTCTCTTCTACTCGGGGAATTTATTGCATCTTTAGAGTTGGGGGCTGTCATGTGTGCAAATACAGTTTTTCCAGTTTTGCCCATTGCCCATCCATTCAGCCACTGTTCCCTGGTGTTGCATTTGATGATGTTCTTGGCTGTCTGTTGTGATACTGGGTTGTGTGGTTGTGTTTGTGATGCTCCCTTCTTGGCAAGGGTGTCTGCTCTGTCGTTTCCTGGGATGTTGCTGTGGCCAGGTATCCACTGTAGTGTCTGGTCGACGGCATAGGTCTGTAGGAAGGTGTTGATTGTTTGAGCCACAGATAGGCAGGTTGGGCTTTCGAAATTGATGTTTTCCAGAGCTTGGAGTACTGACTTTCCGTCTGTGAAGATAATAGTGTTCTTGATTTTGTTTGGATATATTATGAAAATGTTGGTCAGGTGGAGGATTGCTGCTTCAATGGCGATTGCCTCAGCCTCGTAATTTGTACAAGAAGTACCACCATTAGTTTTAATATAAATTGCATGAATATGCCGTGTGTTATAGTCTTGGTATAACGAGGAAAGCAGAGGAAAAAAATAGATGGCAAGAGCTGGTTTTCAGATGCAGTGGTGCCCCCACAGTTGCCCCAACCACGGGATAGAAGAGAACAAGAGATAAAATTATCGGGTAATGCAATGTGTATTGGTTTCAGTATAAGATTACAGGGTCATGCTTTGTGTATAGCTGTCCCCAGGGTTTTATGCACCCGCATTATTTAGCAAAATATGATCATTTTTTGCATAATTTCTGATTATTCTCCTTTATCGTTCTTTGTTAAAATTAACAGAATCGCATAATTTCAAAAAAAAATTTTTATAAAACCGCGGGGACAAGTATAGGTTTTTGTTTGAATTGTCCTGGACAGTGAGCACAGAGGTTTTGATTTGTCTGTCTGTGAGGCAGGTGGCAGGTAACCCACTTGAGCTATGGTCATATTGGGTGGGCTAAATGTAGAATGGTACGCTGGTATATTGACATTCCCCCCCCCCCCCTTTATCATTCATGATTGTTTTTCTCTCCAGAATTGAGGACATTTTCTCTAAAAGAGGATACTCCCCACAGGACAAACATGTGATTGACAAGGTCAGTCCAGTAGACAAACACACCGAAAAACAAACACATCGATAAACAAACACATCGATAAACAAACACACTGATAAACAAACATGTGATTGACAAGGTCAGTGTAGTGAACAAACTCACTGATAATGTGGTCAGTGTAGTAGACAAGCACAAAGAATACAATACAAAAAAAATATTATGTTCAGTTGCATCTTGCTTGCTGACAACATTAACCCTCTGGGACCTGCCATGCCTTCCCCTGCCCCCATCTCTGGGATGAGAGGACTTGGTTGCTCTGGGAGGGGGGGAGGAAAATCTAACTTTCAATTGTTATTATTGTTATTACTATTAATATTATTATTATATTATAGTTTTTGTATTTCAGCAACACACAGCAACTATGCTCTTCTTAATAGCGTCTTTCTCTTCTTTATCTCCTCAAACAACTTCTCAATATAATGCAACACCAATATACCCATTCATTTTTCTTACGATCTCTCTGTGATGGAGTTGGGTTTTTGTTTGTGGCATTGCACCTATAGCCACTGCTTTATCTCTTACCCCGGGATGGAAGGAAAATCACAGAAACACCAGTGTTAGATGCTATTCACAACGTGTTCAGTTGGGGTTTGGCATATTTTTATTCGAACTATCTGCGAAGTAGAGTTTTCAGTGTCGGAGTTATCTGTGCTCAGCTTTAGTATAATTATTCCTGTCTGTCTTGCGCCTTACGCTGACAGAGCGCATTATTGTAATGTTGTTACTGTTCATCTTACACTTACAGGGTGGTTCGTGGGTGTTCTGGCGTGGTTTGCACGTTTTTTCCTATTAAACATCTGTTGTCCTTATCTCCACTTTTTCTTATTTTTTGTGTTTGTTACTCTCTTGTAACGCCTGTAATCTTCGGCACCTGACCTTATTGTATTGCAAGTGCCGTAAAAGTCTTACTAAAACTAAAACAGAGGGTATTAGGACTAATGTAGAATTATTCCTGTTTGTCTTACCCTTACAAAGTGTATTATTCCATTGTACAAAGTTTCTCGTCTGTCTTTTAGAGTGTTGGGACAATTACCGTGGAAGTTTCCGGGGATCTGTCTCGTGCAGCTTTGGAGAACTTCCTGCAGACTTTGCTATGGGAGAAGACAGTGAAAGATTCCAAAGGAGAAATCATTGATGTCCTCAGGCTGAAGGTGAGAGTGTGTTAGTGTTCTCAACACAGAGGTGAAGTGTGTTGGTGTTCTCAACAGTTTGGAAGTGAGAGTGTGTTAGTGTTCTCAACATTGAGTGGAGGTTAAGTGTATTGGTGTTCACAACACAGGTTGAAGGTGAGAGTGTGTTAGTGTTCCCAACACAGAGTGTGGGTGGGACTGTGTTTGTGCATGTGAGAGAGTGTGCTAGTATTCTCAACGCAGAGTAGAGGTAAGAATGTGTTCTGAATACAGGCTGAAGGTGAGAGTGTAGAGTTACTTTCCCACTTGCAGCCATGAGAGAAGCTTCCTCTATTTTCACAACACTGTCATATTGCGGGACCTTTTTTTTTTTTACTGCAGCTAGGAAATGTGAACGTACTAAGAGTCAAAAGTGGCTCGAAGCCTTTGCTGTCGTTTTTTGGCAAAAATGACTAACATGCAGTTAGTGAAAAGTTGGCTTCGGTGCGGCCACCCGGCCAAGATGCGGCCCCTGGTAAGTCATAGGTGCGGCCACATATAATAAATGTACAAACAAACACACAAGACAAACTCGATGTAATGAATGCACCATAAAATGTCGGGAACAGACAGCCTAAAAGGAAATGGTTGATGATAGTCATAGAGACGATGGCCCAACCACGTGGCTTTACAAGTGACCACTCCCGAACGTAAATTCATGAACGGGCATTCACATGTGTTGCATATCTAGGCCTAGGTCTAGCTAAACATTACATGCAGTGACTCAAACACCAGTCAGAACCCAACATTTCACCGACCAGTCCGGGACCTATGTGTCTGTGGAAAGGTGGGTGTGAAAACACTGTCCATCACTCTCTTTGTTCGGCGTGAGGGGCAGTCTCACCAAATATCCGTTTTTTTCAGTAGACTTGTCTTATGCAAGCTGTGCAGATTGTAGTTTGTAGTGAAAATTTCCCTTAGTCAAGCTTTACCTGTCGGCATGTATCGCAGACCGGAGCTTGCGTTTAGAGAGAGTGACTGTGCGTTTGTATGTCTAAATTATGTAGTAAAAAACCTGTCAGATGACGAAAGCGTGTGTTTGAGCAGAGCGTGCTTTTGTATGGCTTGCGTTTAGGCGGAGACTACTGTATGTCCATTTTAAAAAACTTTAACTTTTATGTGTGGATTTTATGGAAGAACGTTGATTAATGGCACAAAAAATGTAAATTTGCAGTTTCTAAGGGCTCTTAAACAGTGGAAGTCACCAAACTTTAGTGGCCATTTTCTCGCTAATTTTGCTTCTGAAACCAAGCAACCCTACCTCCTTCAATCGCAAATATCTCAACTTCTATTCAAGATAAATAGATATTTTTTTAATCGAAAGCAAGGCATATGAACAACCTAGCAATAACTCCATGTGCCCAAAAATTGACGAGCGCCTGATTCCACCGCGTCGTGACACGTATATATATATATATATATATATATATATATATATATACAAATTTAACTGCTTAGTGTAAGACGCTGCCATGTATGCCATTGTTAAAAGTGATGCATGACAGAGTCATACACTGAGCAATCAAAATTATTTTTATTATTATTATTATGTTTCCTGTGTGTATATTATATATATATATATATATATCTGTGTGTAGGGTGTGGTGTCGGTGGAGGGTGAAGGTCGCAGGCTGGTCGTCCAGGCAGTCCATGAATTGTACGACTCCCAGTTTACCACAGAATGGGGCAGCACAGAGCACAAAGCCAGCACTGTCGTCTTTATAGGTAATGTTGTTGTGGAAATTTCATTGTCTCTTCTAAGACTTTTTTACCCTATCCGTATGCCTTGGTGTCATTTTGTATCCCCCGAGGTGGTATTCTCTTCACATTTAAGAATACTTCTAGTTCGAAGATCTCTTTGAAACTTTCAGTATTTCTCAAAAAATCATTTTGACAGACTGTTATGCAAAGCGTACGGATCGGATTAAGGAGAAAATTTCCTCTTTGGAAGTGGTGGCACAGAGTTCCCTACGTCGTATGGATACGATAGTAAAACACGACGTACGGATAGGGTTAAACCTGCTCTGTCAGATTACGCACTGTAAGTGACTCAGGAAACTTCTTTCTGCTTACTGATCCCATAATCCACGTGGATCGTAGGGGCATTGTATGATAGAGAGCCTCATCAGCTGCCTCCACTTTTCACTTTTTTTTGCGAGTGCCTGAGTTTGGGTCGAAGAATTTCCCTGTCCACTCCGCAATGTTTTCGGTCCTCTTCTAGCTCTTTCTTTGCCTTCCTCTCCTTCTCCTCCCCTGCACAGTTCCCTGAAGAATAGTCTTGGATAGGCCACACAATCTTGTTACCTGACCATACCAATTCATTTTTCTTCGCTTCGCAATAGGCAGCAAGTCTAAACAGTTAGTACGAAACTTTTACCCTGACTTATAATAAGGACTGGCGTCTATTCAGAGTTACAGAGACAGCTTCTCTCTCTCTGATTTGGTTGGTGAAATCCAAACACTGATGATCGTAGGCCAGTTTCTGTGGTGTAGGGGTTAGGCACTTTTCCATTGCACGCAGAAGACGTTTTCGATTCCCAAGTTGGGAGGATTTTTGTCAAGTATCGCCATCTTTCTGCTGGGACATTGTACCGCTCTCAGACTGGGTTTGCCCTGAGAGGCAGTGTAAAGGCAGCTGGCCTCCTAAATTATCTAAATTGTGTAGACGGGGGTGTAGAATATATTGACAATACAGTATAACACAAGTAGGTCAAACACACAAGACTCGAAATCACATACATCCGCCGGTCTGTGCCTGCGGTCCCGTTTTTTCTTTTTCTTTCTCTTCGTAAGATATCCCTCGAAGCACGGATCCTTTGTGGGTGGTTGGCGGGTACTCTGGTGTTGTTTGCTCCTTCTATCCTGTCAAACATCTATCGTCCTGATCTCTCCTCCTTTTTTGTCTTTGTTACTCTCTTGTGACACTTCTAATCTTCCGATTTTTCGGCACTTATATAGGGCCTTACTCTGTTGCAAGTGCTGTAAAACTCTTACTAAAACGAAAAAACACCCCCGGGGCGGTGCCATTGACTGAATTGTCTTTAGGCCATTCCCAAAGGGGGGGGGGACATTTCTCGTTCTAATGCACAGTAGAATTGTAAATGGGCTGATCCAACAATGTCATGCTCATAACTGTGCCTGAACTACAACAGGGAACTGCTGCTTTTTCTTTCCTAATCCTTACTATCGTCATTTCCTCTACTTCTTTTATATGTTTGTCACACTCTTGTGATCCGCTATTTCCGAGGTGCTTTGATAGGCGAAGCAGACTTTGTGCTGTTGAAGCTAGATAGGTGAGCAGAGTAAGTCTGACTCCCTGTAGGTTGTTAGGACTTCTCTGTTGACATCCACCCCTTGGCGCTCATATGACCTTATGCAGTTTCGAGCGCTGTGAAACCTCTACTAAAACAAACAAAAAACGGATCCCTCAAACTATCAAGGTTGGTCCCGACGAATTCGAGCTATCCATGTTATACTGTATATATTTACATTTCTGCTGATTGTGATGCTAACATATTGTCTTGTGGTGCAGTGGTGAGACTACTAATACTAAACCAGTTTTAAAATTCCATTGAGCTTGATGTCCCCCCGCCAAGGCAGTGCTACTGACTGAGTTGTCTTTAGGCCATTCCCAAAGGGGTTAACATGTTTTTATGCACAGTAGAATTATAAACGGGCTGATTTATCAATGTCATGCTCATACTGTGCCGGAACAGCATAGGGGGAACTGTTGCTTTTTCTTTCCTCATCCTTTCCATCGTCATTTTTTCCCTACTTTTTTTGTATATATCTGTCACTCTCTTATGAACTGCTATTTCTGGGGTGCATTGATAGTCAAAGCAGACTTTGTGCTGTTGAGGCTAGAGAGGTGAGCAGAGTAAGCCTGATTCCCTGTTTTGACTTCTCTGTTGACATCCACCCCTTGGTGCTCATATATGACCTTATCTGTCCCTGTGGTTTTATGCTACCCGCATAATTTAGCAAAATTTTATCATTTTTTGCATAATTTCTGATTATTTTCCTGTATCATTCTTTGTTAAAATTAACAGAATCGCATAATTTCACATTTTTGAGCTCATTTGTATAATTTCAGAATTTTTCTTGCATAAAACGGTGGGGACAGCCTTATGCAGTGCGAGCGCCGTACAGTAGTCTCCGCCTAAACGCACAGTGCTTGGGAGGGCTCCTTAGCGTGTGTTTATACGGGGCGTGCGTTTACATGAACCTTTGCAAGAGGGGAGGAAGGGACGCAGTCATATCAATTCCTTATTACTCTAGTGACCTCCTTTGGAGGGAGGGGGTCATTTTGGCAGATAATGTGACGACACGTGACTGTTTTGTGAAGGATTCCCCGACAGGGGTTAAGAGTACAAAGGCGTTGAATTTGAATGGGGGG